TAAAATGTGTGATTATCCTACAGCCTGTATGGTTCTCCAGCACTATACCCATGTTGCATTTGGTGTCTAGTAGCCTAGGAGAAAAAGGTAACATGCTATAATTTCTACATGCCAAGAAATGGTGAGAGCGAAGGGCTTGTGAAAACTCCATTAGAGTGATATTTTGGAAAAAAACTTTTTTACTCTGAGGATAGTTGCATTTAACTTGATAATAAACCGTCTGGATACTAATTGTCCAGGTTATATAGACTCCAAATAGCTATTATGATTGTTAGAAATAATATAATCTCAACACTTATGGTAGCAACAGGCTGGGAACACACAGAAACAGACTTCATAACTAAACTATGAAAAATAAACTACAAAAAGCAAAACATTGGTGTTTTAAAATGCTGAAATGTTGAGAAATAACTTTCTCAACTACTTTTAGCATGTGGCAGATCCCCAGCCTGTTGGAAATGGGGTGTTGGCAGGGCAGGGAAAGCTTTAGGAAAGCTGCAGTCACTTTTCTCTCCTGTAGTCTCATACGCCTCTGTGGTACTGCATCTCATTTAATGCTGGCTGTTTAGAGTTATCTAACCCAGAAGCTGTTCTGCACATCACTGTCACTGCGTTAATAGGATCGGAGGGTGATCAGCGTGACTGCGAGTCCTCTCTGTTTGACAAGGAAGAGGTAAGTACCACTGGTAAGGCGATCTCTGCCAATCACCAAAACAGCAAGCAGTAGACACAACCAAACCAAATATACCCTTGTGCAGAAAAGACTTTGGGACAGAAGTCCATGGTGTTGCTCATCTCTGCTCCCAGCAATATTAACTGGTGGAATCCACAGGAGCAGAGCTGATGTGAAATCCTTCCCGAAGGGCCTGAGCCTGCACTGTGTTCCCAAACAGGTATTCCTCTGACCCACCAGGTGATGAAGCCTGGGTTCCTATGGGTTTGCATTATTATTCTTAGGTTAAAAAAATTGTTAGGTTTTTCTGCTATTGTAACACATAACTTTTTGAAATTCTCCTCTGTTTCCTGTTACAATCCATCTCTTGCAGTATTTTGGCGATGATACACAGACTCCCGTATCCTGGAGAAATTAGCCAACAGAATGAAAAGTTATGGGGTGAACCACAGTCCTCTCTCTAAACAGCCACCTGTTTTATAAAACATGGAACTCCGTTATTTTTGAGATTATTCCCCTCTGAAGTTTGGATGAAATCAGCCAATACATTCAAAAGCTTTATGGGAGGAGAATGAAGGTGCCAGGGAGTGGGAGGTCTAGTCTGACATTGCTGGAAAGCCACCTAAGATACCAGACTGTGCTTTATGGTTTAAACTTTGACTTTAGAACTATGGTAAAAAATAAGACCTATTGAAGCCTCATAGACTGTATGAATACCAACAAAATTTTTGGCATTTCTAATACACAAACTAAACAATGCAACTTGCCTGCAGTATCTCAGAACAAGTCTGCAGTTACCTTGTTTGTTCTGTTTAAGATGCATTACGTAGAGATATTTTACCACTGTCTGCAATGGGGAACAATACTTCTTAACAGATGAGTCTGGGTTTCAAGACTGAGTGCAGCAATGCTTTGGACTACCTACAGGTTATATTTTTGGGACAAAAGTGTGATTATGGAACTGGGATGGAGACAAACAACTAAGTAGCACATTTGTAAAAATCATCTTAGATTTTGACTTGCTAAGGACTTCTGGTTTTGTTTAAAGATTTAAGTTTAGGAACTCTCTTAAATCTAATCCTGGAGCCTGCTGGTGTTGACACCAGCCTTCCCAATGGTACTGATGAGACTGCATGGTGTGACTACTGAATAGCTGGACTGTGACGCTGTCCCCGGATCCTATAAACAGTTTCTGACAGATGGGCTGTATTTAAGGGCTCCATTTTGCCCTTTGTATAAAGCCTGCCCTGCACAGCAGACAGGTTTGAATTATCCCAGTCCTATGGTAAGCCTCCCTCAGCCTCCTGCTGTTTCCTCTCTGCACCCTAGAGACTTCAGCTCTGTCATGGTTCGTGTGGAAAAATTGGAGCTGGATCCTGGCTGTGTCCATGGAGGATTTCCACAGAAACGTCCTGCTGACTCCTTTCATAAAGACCAGTCTTAGAGGGGGGGTTGGGACAGATGTAAATGACTAAATCACTGTCAGTCCCTAAAGTACAATGTCCATTTAGCCTCCGAAGGTAGCAGTGTAATTAGTGATGGCTGGTAGTGACCTCAGAAGACCTACTCTAATAATGCAAATGCTATTTGCCCCCATTCCCCGGCGTTGGAGATATTGCCTTTGACACAGGTACCTGTCTGAGCCTGCTCGGGCCCACTACACACGGCCCAGATTACACATCTGGCTTAACACAGCATCCAGCCTGTTTCTGTGCTGGAGATAACTGAGAAAGAGTCTGCCCTCATCCTGCCTCTTCCACACACCACAGGGCTGCCTCTGCAGCACTTAATGCAATGGGCCTATGCAGCCTCTGAGCTGCTCCACGGGTCTGAGCACAAGGTCACTCCAACTGCAGTAGTCTGGTTTGGGCCCCTCACAGAGGCTTGCAGAACAAATACATCTGACCCTTCAAATGGCCCACCTGCCCTCTGGTTGATTGCGTCTTTTTATTTAATAACAATATGAAATTAAAGGAAATGGAACTCATGACTGATGAAGTACGTAACAACTGTAAGATATTTGCATTTCAGGACATTCGAGGGGAAAGATAATATCCATAAAACTTGTAGCAATAAATCTGGTTTCTTGGCAGCCTTTTCTGTTGTTCATTGCAAACAAAAGTCCCACTGTAGCACCAACAGTAATGGAAGGAATGCTGCTGCTTCTTTTCCCCTTACACAAACATAGTTTGAGGAGCAGGAGCAATAGCTCAGAGGTAAGAGAGGCTTTGCAGCTTGGCGCCTACATGTTTCACTAGTAACAAAGCTATATTGACTTAGCTAGATTTGTGGTCACCGTACATGGGAATGCTGGCTGGGAATGATCACTGCTGGGTGCAGATGGGAGGTTTCATGTTTCTTCTAAACTGTAACTGGGTCCAACTGCTTGGGTCCAACTGCTTTGTGACTCCTGAGTATAAGCCAAAGATCCTTCGGAAGGAGGGGCTCGGGCTGCTGTGTGCCAATCTGCAGGATAGCTGTCAGCCTAAGGACAGCCTTTTGAGTCAGGCAGGTGTGATGACCAGTGCTGTGCTCAACGTTCACTAAAATGGTTGTCATCTAGTTTGTCAGAAATCAGACATGCAGTCTGATATTACTCAAGCTTCAGGAGAAATGGATTTCATTAGGTATGCTTGTAGGATTAATGTACAGGCATCAATATGGTTGTTTGGTTTTGGGGTTTGTGTTTTGTTTTTTTTTGTCGTTCTTCCTTTCTACCTGTACTGGGAACAAATTATGGGATTTTCAAGCTGATGCATATGTGATGGGACAACTGTGCTAAGCAGATGGGGCCTTGCTCATGGTCCTAAAGCCAGTCAGACGTGTACCTGTTGTTATCTCTCGGGGAAAGGCTATCTTCCATCTTATTTCTCACACACTCTCACTATGTCATCAGCTTGTCTACAGTTTGATTCAACAACTTGACGCGGGTTCAGAAGTCTGGTCTGACACTCACAGAGGCTCGATTTGGCTGTAGCTTTGCTAGATACCGTGCTCTTAAGACTTCCTATCACTTGTTTTCTCTCACCTCTTCCACAGGCCATTTACTGAATGGTGTTGCCCTGCTGTTTGATTTAAGTGTACAGATTCATCCATGAGTCTTAGTACAGACTTGCCTATAGACTGTTTCCTATGTAACGGGTCCTTCTCACCCACCTCAAATTCCTGGAGAGGCTCATGCTTTGACTTCATCCTGCTTCTTGATCTCTCGTTAGATACTGGTGTGACTGTGTGAGGATACGAGAATTCAGCTTTCCTGGATTAGGCCTGTTGCTGGTCCTTCACACTGCAGCCACCCAACACCTCGGCTCAGTTCAAGGCTAAAAAATCTTCAGTCACTGACTGCTGTCAGCAAAGCAAAGCAGGAAGCCCTCTTTCCTTAAAGGTTAAAATATTTTTGATATATAATGAAAAGACTTGGTGCTCTGTCAATGAAAGAAATCTCCTCAGACAAGAGCACTATGTTTTTTGGAGGTTAGCCAATGTGGGGCGAAAACCCAAGTGTTATTGGAGGACAACTGGAACCGGTTGCCCAGAGAGGTGGTGGATGCCCCATCCCTGGAAACATTCAAGGTCAGGTTGGCCGGGGCTCTGAGCAACCTGATCTAGTTGAAGATGTCCCTGCCCACGGCAGGGGGGTTGGACTAGATGACCTTTAGAGGTCCCTTCCAACCCAAATGATTCTATGATTCTATTCTATGATTCTATGACTAGATGTAAGGTCTTGGTCCTTTAGCTCCCTTGTGTTTATAGTACCTGAGTCACATGATCTCTTTAGAAATAGATGAAGCCTCACCCTGCAAGGAGGTGAGGGTGGTGGCCAAGGTCCTCTGCACTCCTACGTTAACAGGAAGGCTCGTGCAAGGCTTGGAAGGGAAATTGTACTGGTGAAAAAGAAGCATCTGCAGGCATGTGGGGGAGTAAAAGAAAAGTGGGGCAGTAGGAGCTAAGTAGTGGGAACAGGATCAATGTCATAGATCTGCAGGAAATATCCAAACTAAGCATGTATTCTGTGTAGGCATTCCTCCTGGCTCCTCACAGCTGGCCTGGGAATGCCACAGCCTCTCCTGCCACAAGCAGCAGGTGGATCCCCCCCCCCCCCCCCAGCCTCTCCTGCCACAAGCAGCAGGTGGATGCTCGCATGTACCAGGAGCCAGGGACTTCTTCAGAAATGGGTGCTGGGTGCCTCAGATTTGCTACAACCATGCTCCTGAGTGGCCTTGGGCTGGGCCTGCTTTGCCACAGCTTTTTCTTTAAATGAGGTGGAGGGAGGCACTTGAGGGTGAGTGGAGAAGAGAGGGAGGCAGGAGGAGAAGGGGTAGAGACCATGTCAAGTGGAAAGGAGTTAACCTTGTCTGAACAGGAACCACAACTGCTCATCCATGCTCGGGTTGCCTCTGGGGAGTCTGAACAGTCGCGATGCATGGATGTCAAAAGGACTGGTGCATGGTACTGCGAGCCTGAGAGCTTTTTAAAAAAGGACATCGGATGAAGGGTATCATTGCCGAACTAGAAAATAGCAATTGTGCCACCCGTATTCAAGGATAGCAGGGGAAGAGGAGGAGGAAGGGAAGAAGTAACAGCTAGGCACTGCGTCCAATTTAATTGACATTTAGTTACATGAGGAATATATAAATTCAGGACAAATTTTGAAAGTAAATCTAATTAAAGACATGGAGGGAACAGAAAACGGGGGGTGGAGGGAAATTTACCAAAAATAGGACATGCCAGAAGAAAAGCTTCCCCTCCCCCTCCTTTTTTTTCCTTTGGTCACTAATGCTTTTAGACAAGGGATGCATGGTGTTGGTTGTCTGTGGGGGTTTGAAATAGTGTCAGTCAGGCCATTCTTAGACAAAACTGGAGAAAACAGTAATTAGTGCAAGAAGCAGTAGTAATTAGCACAAGAAGTACCTGGGGAGCTGGAGGGGCTATTTCAAAAGCCTGGCCGGGTGCATTGCATGTCCCAGCACCCATCCTCCAGGACGATGTGGTTGGGCCCGTGAGGGTTGGGCAGGAGGGCCATGCTGCCGGCAGGGAGAGGTGTGTCGGGCTGACCCCAGGGTTTGTAACTGGAGGTTAATGCTTGCAAAGGAGCAATGGGCTCCTGCAGTAAATTTGGGCTGGATTTGGGGGCCCTGCCATACCTTCGATGGGGGGCAGCAGGGTGGCAGACAAGCGCCTCGCAAAGCTGATCCCAAACCAAGCCCAGGTCGGGCCTTATGTCACAGGCTGAAACGCAATTGAGGGAAGGTGAGGCTCAGGCCCGGGGGCTCGGCCCCAGTGCTGGGCGGGGGCGTGGGGACAGCGGGACATCCAGCTGGTGACCGTGGTGATGGATGGGGCCTGTGGTGAGCGTGTCCCCAAGCCTCTGCCAGGCCCTGTCAGCAGCAGGAGGATCAGGTGAGCACCTCAGGGCTGAGGCGCCGGTTCCTGTCAGCCAGTCATGGCTGAAGGGCCAGGTGGGGCGTGTGGTGTGTGGTGAGGAAGCCACGAGGGATGCAGTGGGCAAGGCCTTCTCCCAGCCTGCCAACTGATGCGTGGACTTTCCATGCGGCAAGAAAAGCTGAGCATCGCCTGTGTGGTCTGTGCCGACGAGCGAGGACTGGCATGGCACATGCTGTGGGGCCGCCCCTGCTCAGTGACCTTGTCTGAAACCTCATGCCGGGCTCCGGCTCATGTATGTGTTTCGCAGTGTGCAGCCCAAGTTTCCTCAACTCCCAGAAAGCCGTGCTCAGCCATACTGAGCTGCTTTGTCACGCTCCAAACCTCTCTTCCACCCTCATGTTCTGTAGGCAAAAATATTCCTCTGCCTCTCTCAGGAGGTATATCAAGAGGAGAGATGAAAATGTAGTTAAAATCTCTTCCACTCCGCAAGTGCCAATTATGTGGGTTTTTTTCTCAGATGATCTAGTTGATAAATATAGCTAGCTAAATTCAGAGTAACTGTTTTCAACCTGTGTTTAGCGCTGAAGTGGGGCTGGTTCTATTTTCAGGCTGAAGAAGTGTTTGCGTGCCTGAAATCCCGTCCAAGTTCTTCTAACTATATCAGTCGGTCTAATAAAAGAGGTTACCTCTTCCTACAGATCTTGCCTCACTTACATCCTTCAGGCACTATGACTTCTTCTTTTCTGTTGCTTCTCTGCCACCTGCAGTGCACAGCTTGAATTCACAAGACAGAGGATGAGGGGAAGCACATCAGGATATTTCCTGACTTTACAGTGTTTCATCTGCAAGCTTAAAGACGTTCCTGGAAACACAGGAAAAGTTAAGTCGGAAGGGACCTCTGGAGGTTGCCCAGTCCAGCTGTCCTCCATGCTGGGCTAAGAAATTTTGATTGGATGCTCAGGACTTTATCCAGTGAAGTTGCAGGTACTTCCAGGGATGGAGTTTTCACAGCCTCTCTGGGGACGTGCTTCAGTGCTCAACCATTCTTGCTGTGAAGATTTTTTTCCTTATAGCCAACCTATTTTTCCCTTGTTGCAACATGTGGCTGTGGCCCTTCGCCCTTTCACTGTGCACCTCCAAGAAGAGGCTCTTTCTTCTCTACCGCTCATTGCAGTGGGATACTGCAATTTCTTTCCTGCCTCTCCTTAGTGGTCTCATCTCTGGGCTATACAAAGAAGCTCCTCCTGTGGTGGCCTGTGCTCCAGCCTCTCAGCAATCTCGGTGTTCCTCTGCTGGACTCTCTCCAGTTTGTCAATGTTTTTCTTGCTCTATAGGGCCCAAGACCGGACACTGTGTTCCAGGCGTGGCCTTGCCAGTGCGGAGTAGAGGGGAATAAGCACTTTCTTTTGTCTGCTGGCTATGCACTTGCTTATGTAGCCTAATATGTTGTTAGCTGCCTTTGTCGCAGGCACACTGCTTTCACTTGTGCAACTTGCCCAAAAGAAGCCCTCGAGTAGCCTTCTGCAAAGCTGCTACCTATCCAGTTTGTCCCTAGCCTGTACTGCTATGTGGGGTTAGGCCATCCCAGTTGTAGATGTTGCACTTCTTTTTGATCTTCAAGAGGTTTCTGTTGTCCCATTCCTCCAGCCTGTCAAGGTCTCTCAGACTGTTTTTTCTATCCCCTACTTTTTCTTAAGCGTGTAGTTTCCCACCCTCTTATGCTTGCGTTTATGCTATGCAGACATGTTCAAAGACCTAGTTCCTCCTCAGAGCAGTGTTTTCTTTTATTATAGACTACAGAGGCATGGTGGGATGGGTTTTTAGAAGCAGACTACTCTTACTTGCAGTGGAGGTAGATAGTCTTGGAAGGGGAAGAGCCTGTGCTGCCCAGCATGTTGCCCAGTGCCTTTGGAAACTTTCACTTTCCTATCGGCTTCCCACTTATCCCCAGAAATGGTAGTGACAGGATGCAGACCTATCCCTTAGCAGGAAACAGGCCCTGAGGTGTTCACCTTTGCTATCTGTTCATTGACGGAGTCACTAAGGAGACAAATTAGAGAATTCCTGCCCCTGAACTGTTCAAGAAAACCATTTTATAACAGACAATTTGCTTCCTTTTGCTTCATGCCTTACCTTGTACTTTGCCTCATCTCCTATCCACTTAGACCTTAAAGCTTCAGCTTAAATAAGGACTGAACTCAAGGCTGCTTTTGTGTTGAGATTTTCAGACTACCGTGATCTGCTCAGAGAGGAAATGAAAGGACAGCATCTGAGTATGAACTTAATCCTAAGCCAGCTCTAGACTTCCCTTCAGGGCCATTCCAGGCTATATTCTGAATGGGAAAACACAATTAGTCTCCTTTTCTGCCCTGTACCTAGCCAGCCTACTGTTACATTTCTAGAATAAATAACGGTAATCTCCACAAGAGGGTTTTGTGTCTGTTTAAAGACAGAAAAGAGATGCGAATATAATCGGCTAGGCAGATCCTTCTCCGTAGCAGCTGCTGCTGCTTCTCCTCTACTCATAATGCTGCAATATGCTCTCTCTCTCGCACGTTTCTGTGAAAAAAATCAAGACCTTATTATCATGCTCATTTCCATCCCTCCAGCACAAGTCAATCATGGGAACAATTAAACAGCTCTGGAATTAGAAATGACAATTAAAAAAGAAACAGAGATAAGAATGGAGTGGCAGGAAGGGAAAATTAAATGGTTTCTTTCCCCCCTCCCCTTTGCTCCCTGTATCATATTGTCGAAGGAATAATATAGTTCTGCCTTATTAGATGTCAGTTTATAAAATTTACTCTGTGCTAAAACCTACCCATATCCGCACACTTTCTCCTACTTCTCCCCAGTGGTCCTTTGTCCAGTGAGCCAATTCCACTTAAATTTATTGCTCCTTGATATGTAAATCAAGGATCCGACTGCATCACATTTAAATATGTGCTTCAAATACCACTTAATAGCAAGGGGATTCTGTGGGTTATCATGCTGTCTAGGCTGACGGGTCAGGATTTGACTTTCTGGCTGCGTTTATCAGTCCCCAGTCTGTTTTCCTGGGTAGCAAGAGCAGTTAGGGTCTGCTCTTGGCCATCCCAGGCTGCTCATTTGGAAACTGGGAAAAGCAAGGCATGCTCTGTAACACTGGAGATGGTTTTTTTATACCTGAACTCCTAAAATCTTTACAGTCATGCTACAAGCATGTTTTCTGCTTTATCTCCCTCATTTGGGTTCTTCTTCAGGCTAAATTAAATTCTTCCACCACAAAAATTTTCTTCTCATTTATGGTTTCAACTCACTTTCATCTGGAATGCTCCAGTTGTCCTAAATCTTTCCTGAAGAGCAGTGCCTGAAACTAGGCATAACATTTGGCTGAAGACTCTTCTGTGCTGGCCCCACTGACAGGAGTATTCCCACTTGCTATGTGCTAAACACTAGCCTGTATATCCCAGAATGGCGTTTGTCTTGCTCACCATACTGACACTGTTGATTTGTGCTGACCATGTTATCCACCATATTCCCCAGATATTTTCTAAATAATTTTCTACTGAGCCAGCTGTTGCTGGCTGCTGGGCAGCTGATTGTTTCTGCACATATTGAAGTTCATCCAGCTGTTCTCAGAATTTTCCAATTTATCAAGAGCATTTTCAGTTCCAATCCTGTCTCTAAGAATATCTGCATCCCCTCTCCATTTCATGTCATCTGCAAATTTAACAAGCATACTGTGTATTCCATCATCCACAGTATAAACAAAAATTCTTGGAAAATTAGATACAGATTCAGGATGAATCTCTGTATAATACTGCTTGGTACCTCTTCCATTTAGACAGGGAACCTTTATAACTACTCTTTGAATATAGTTTTACAGAGTTTTCTTTTGTTTTTATTTTGGACCCATGCTAGCCTACCTCCATCTAGATGATTTTCTTTTTTTGTTTTTGTTTTGCTTGCTCATAAGAATGCAAGACAATGCCAAAAGCCTAAGTAAAGTCAAAATATGCAACAGCTACTGCTTCTCCCCTGCACTAACAGTCTTAAACCATCATACTGGCTGTAATTCAGCTCCTTGTTTTTCATCTTGGTGCTTAGAACAAGTTTACTTTTTTCCAGGTTGTTTTTCCTTTTGGAAGTTGAAAGTAAAGTTGCTGAGCTTTTACTCGTCTCCTTTCTCCCTTCCCCGCTTCTTCCAAACACAGACCCTGTACTTGCGCTATTCCCATCGTTGGTGGCTCACCAGACCCCAGCTGTCCTCGAAAGTAACTGCTAACGTGTCTGAGACTGTTTCAGGCAGTTTTTCACATATGCTAGACAGATGTTCATCAGGTTCAGCCAAATTAGCAACACATCACCCTAAGCTGTCTAATCTGCTCATTCAGGCTATTAGGTTTTTTTACATTTATTTACCCTTCTCTCGCTGATGTTACCTGTACCAGCCTCCTGCTCACCTTTTCAGTGATGAGTGAAGGAAAAAGCTCACTTTGGCATTTTTGGCCTCCTCTGCCTGCTTCCCTATTGAGCGGGGTGGCCATGTTTCTTAGCTTTTACTATTAATGTTAATGCATTCAACTCATAGTCTCGTGTACTGTTTGAAATGAAGAGGCAGTGCTTCCATGTGTTTCTGTGGAGGGACTCCTTCTTCACTTCATGACTGTTTCTTCACGAAGAAACATGTCCTGCTGTTTCAGAACTGCTGGACATAGGTTGTCACTGTAACGGCACTGTTGGCTCTCTGGGTCAGAGCCTCCCCTTGCTACAAGCCCTCCGTATTCACTATCAGGCAGGGTCAGCTTGCCAGAAAAAGCACTAGTGTGCTGCTAATACAGTAGACATGCATGCTCGCTTTGCTGGGGAGGCAGGAGGGGCTAAGAGGAACCTGTTTTAGCCACATTAGGTTGTCACCATCTTGAAGAGCTGAAGCAAGCTGTACTAGGGAGACAAAAATGACATCCACTTGGAAATATTAGCTCATTGAAGCTGGCCTTGCCTGTTACTAGCATTGAGAGCAAATGCCACCTGGGCATCCTGGCACACACTGACAATGCAAATGTACTCTTGCCTTTCTCATTAGCTTTCTCATGGGCTGCCATTGGGTTTGGAGAGTGGGATGTTGAGGTCAGGCTGTGCCCTGACCTTCTAGCATGGCCGCCTGCAGGCTCGAGTGTCTTTCATATGTTGTGTGGGTGTCTGCCAGGGTGTGCAGCTGTTTTAAGGTCTTGTCCAGCTCCCTGAGGTACGGAGAGCTGGCCTAAGCACCAACCTGCCCCTTGATGGCTGCCTGGTCCTTTGTCTCAGTGCAGCATTGAAAAGAGTTGCATTGTTTTCCTCCAAATTCCTGTCCCTTTGGAGACAGCTCACAAACCTTGTCTTCCTAATTCTGCTTCTGTGGTCTTCATTACCTCACCTCGCAGGGAAACAAGGTCCTGCAGGACCAGAGTATCTATGTACATAAACCTAAATACTTCTAAATACACCAGAGTGCAACAGTGACTCATTTATTAGGTCACTCTGAGCCAGAGTACAATAATAACATGAGTTACAAAAAAGTTTTCATTTTTTGATGGTGATCTCACCCCCTACTCGCCCCCCCCCCCAAAAAAAATAATTAATCAATGTCTCACCTTCCAGGAAAAAATAGGAAAATCAGCCTACCATTTTTCTCAAGTGTTAGGATCATCCTCGTAACGTCCTGATGTTACCTGAGTTTACTGCATTATTTAATGCTGGGTGGGTAAATGGATGACAAAATCATTACTACCACAATTATCAGCTAGTTATCAGCTGCAATGTTTGTGGGCCTTCTGAGTCATGAGGGTGACACAGAATGCACTATGCCATCTTCATCCCAAAGGAGCTATGGTCTAAGGCTGAGACATATTAATGGTAGGTATGGGCATCATTTCTTGGTAAATATGCTCCAGGGATGTCATTGTCAGTGTTGTTCTGGTGATGTCAGATCCATGCTAATCCAGTGTGTCGATCCAAGCACCATGACAGTTTGGCAGAAAATGCTACTCTCATCCCATCAGAAAATTTTTTCCTTTTTTTTTTTTCTTTTTCCTTTCAAATAAGTAAACTTGATTTTGAACTAAAAGTACTTTTAATTTACAGTCACTCAAAACTGGCTCAATGCTTGAAAATGGGAACACGAGTAAAAGCTGTGTATGGTTCTGTCATTCATGTTCAGGACAGAGGAACTCAAACACCTTTTGCACACTTGCAGCAAGGAGGGCCAGGAACATCCAGGGCTGCATTAGAAAGAGCATTGTCAGCAGGTCAAGGGAGGTCATCCTTCCCCTCTGCTCAGCACTGGTGAGACAATTCTGGAGTATTGGGTCCAGTTCTGGACTCCCAAGTACAAGAGAGACATGGACATACTGGAGTGAGTCCAGTGAAGGGCCATGAAAATGGTTAAGATCTTGGGGCATCTGATGTATGAGGACAGGCTGAGAGAGCTGGAGCTATTCAGCCCAGAACAGAAGAGAAGACCCCCTGAGTCTTCTCTTCAATGTGCTATCAATGTGTATTAATACCTGATAGGAGGAGCAAAGAGGATGGACCCAGGCTCTTCTCAGTGGTGTCCAGTGACAGGGCAGGAGGCAATGGGCACAAACGAAAACGCAGGAAATTCAATTTAAACATGAGAAACAACTTTTTTCATGGTGAGGGTGGTCAAATGTCAGAACAGGTTGCCCACAGAGGTTGTGGAGGCTCCATCCTTGGAGATAATTAAAACCCAACTAGACGTGGCCCTTAGCAACCTTCTGTAGCTGACCCTGCTCTGAGAAGGGGGGTTGCACTAGATAATCTCCAGAGGTGCCTTTTGATGTCAACCATTCTGTGACTCTGTGTAACTATAAAAGGAGCAAAGCATCGTTACTGAGATGACTGGAAGAATGGTGAGCCTACCTTACAAAAATATGTTTATACATCAACAACATACACTAGGCTTGGGAGAAAGGAAGAAGGCTGAGAGGAGCCATGATTTCGCTCTATAAATGACATAAAAGAATAGATGACAAGGGAAGAACTATTGAAAGTAAAGAACTGGCACGAGATTAGCAGGTGACAAAGAATAATCTGACAATGAACAAAGTTAGTCTTAAAATTAGGAAGACTAAATTTGCAAAGCAACACACCAATAAGAATACTGCAAGTTTCTAAAAGGGATTATTTGACATACAGTGGAAAGGGACCAGCCTTAAGCCTAGTGTTAATAAATGAATGGGCAGAAAAGGCTGTTGTCTCAAGCAGCAGAACTCATGGCGAGACCTGGGGGAAAAAAGTCAGAGACTCTGTTACCAAGAAGTGCAGGCAGAGGCTGAGCTTCGCAGGAACCCACGGGTGTCTCTAGGTCACCTTATTGTATACTGCTGTGGATAAGAAGGAAGGTAGCATATTTTTGTAGTCCGTGTTTGTGTAAAATACTCTGTTCTAGAAGTGGAAGAGTTTTGTTCTGTGTTGAAAGTTTTTTGTCATTTAAAGTTTTCCCTTTTTTAAGCGTATTTTGTCTTTCCTCTTTCTTTTGAGTGTGTGCTACAACAATCTGTTTCATTATGGAGAGAAATTGTCGAGTGAGGAGCCTGGCTCATCTCTTAGGTAGTGTGGAAATGGCCTACAGAACAGATGTTAAACTTTACACCTCCGGACACTTAAATCATAACAAGATTTATAAGCCTTCAGAGAAAATAAAACAAGGACTATGGTACTCTGCCAGGAAACAAACTAGTTTCATGACAGAAGGAAATCAATTCCCAGCTGACAATGAGAGAGCAAGGAAGATGAAAAGATTTTTCAGGTAACTTCTGTTCCAGCATCCCTCTGCTTCCAGCCCAGGCTGAATCTTCCTGCCCTAACAACAGACGTCCACAGTCACCTGTGACTGGTGTTGGTGCCTCAGCAGATTTTTCTACTCCACTGGAAATGTTAAAGTTGAAAGCACTTAAAAAGAAAGTAGAGGAGGGACCTGACAGACTTTGTATGCGTCTCAAAAGAGATGAGTTAGATGTGTCAGAGATTATGGTGTTGAAAAACAAACCACAGCCGACACTGTGTTGTGGAGCTTGCCAACGAGGAATACCAGTTCGTACCTTCATACTTAGCTGGTGTAACTAAAACTGAACAGTTTAACAAATTCCTACATTTCCAGGAGTTCATAGCAAAGCATGAACTGTTACAGAATGATTTCACAGGGAGCAAAGTACCAGAGCAGCATGAAAGAAAGCTAGCTAAGGTAAGAAAAAGAGTCCCCAAGTTGATGGAAAGCTAAATTTTGCATTATCTTTCTGGGCGGATTGGTTACGTTTGTTCCAGGAAAATGGAATGGGTTTAAGCAAAATCACCTCTCTCTTCTTGTCAGAGAGATGATCCCATGTGTTTGATTAGTTGCGCACTCGTAAGACGCATCTACTATGTGCTCCAAAACCCTGAGCCCAAAGCTGTACACCACTGTTTACCCTTCCTGCCATTGTCATGTGCAAATATTGTGTTAAGTACACAGCAAGCTAGTGATCTGTATGGGAAAAATCACGGTTGATCAGCAGCTCTGTAGGAATGGTATATTCAGCATCTTGTCCAGCAGCACATTTCAGATGATTTGTAAAAGAAGCTACCTTCTCTATGTGTGCTGTAGACTATCTCTTTATGCACAGACAGTTGCTGTAGTCTGGCTGGCCTCTCGTGATGGGTGGAATGGCGAGTGAATTTGATGAGTCAAGCACATAAACCTTGCAGAAGTTGCTTGTGTTGCTTGAGTCCCTGCCCTGGGGGAAGCATTAACAGTCTCGTCAGCACTCAGAGCCAAATGCAGGAGTGAGAGTAAGATTCTGGATTCATAGAAATTAGGGATGGAACTTAATGAAAGCAGTTGGGGGTAGGTAAACTAGGAAATGGCTAGGCTAGTGTGGGCTGGAGAAGAACTGCCATTTCATGTAGATGAGAGTAATTTGGCACTTTGTCCCTCACTGTGGTACTTATGGCCATGTTTTCATCCTTTGTAAGATGCCAGCTGATTTATCAAGGACATTTTACAGAGAATTAAGCAGTGGTATTTGCAGGACTGGGGGAGAGATGACTGCTGACAGAGAAAATAGAGGTCAGGCTTGACTGAAACAGCCATCCCGATAGTAGTGCTAAGTATACCAGAAACTGGCAAAGAAATGACCAAGCAAATAAGCAGAGGTCTTTCTTGTATACCTCCAACAAACTACCAAAGCTTTTCAAGAAAAGTTATGCAAAATGAGGGAAGCGAGGCGACAAATTCATTCAATCTACTTCTGGGTGTAACTCTTGGAGAAGCAGCATAATCCATGCTCCACTGGATTCTAGGAGGTATCATTTGCCATGCAGTTAACCACCTTGCCAAAAAAGTTGGCTACTTCCCACTTTGGTAAATGTCCCCAGCAACCTTTCTCCTATGACTCTGGGCTGAGAGGCCAGAGTAAAAGGAAGAAGGGGTGGGGGAAAACAGAAGAGGCAAAGTGCTGTATTATAGCAGGATAACAGCTTGACCTTGTAATTTTTAAAGCAGTTTTTCCCAGAAAACATTTTCCCCAGAAACAATCTGAATCGGCACAATTTTGGTGAGATAGTGTAACTCTGGTAAAGTTTAGCAGAAAGCTGTACTAACTAGCAGTGATGGTAATCTTTGCCCTTTGATTAAATGGTCAAAATTTCTATCAGCCTTGGTTTGAAACAAGGATATTCACAAAGTGAAAAACTGCCATGGTCTATTATCTGCCTAAGAGGCTTGTTGTGAAAAAGTTAATCTTAGGAACAGAACACTTTGAAGTGAGGCCAGCAGCACTCTAGAGAAAAAGTTCCCATGTCAGACGAAGTAGCACAGGTTGCCTAAGAGACCCTTCCTTTCTCTCTTCTAGGTTTATTACTCAGAGCTGGTACATATAACCATGAGATCATAAGTGTAAGATTTTAACTGTTGTATTCCTTAGCTAGGGTTTCTCAGGTTATTTATATATTAATTACGTCTCTCTGAGCTAACAGTTGCTTTAAGGGATGCAACATGTTCCAAGGGCTGCTTCTTCCAAACCTGGAGATGATCTGTTGAAGTCAGTAGAGATAGACAGACTAACTTATAATTATGGAAGGATTGGCTGTAAAGATGTAAGCAAGATATTCAACACTAAGTTGAGGTGTAATGTAGTAATTGTCTTCTGCCACACAAATCTGTGTCGTCTTTGTTTTCTACTAGTCTTTTCAATGATTAGTACATCCTGTCTTGTTGAATGTGAGCTTTCTTCTTACTGATTGAAATACAGAATTCATGCTATGACCGAGACTTGATCTGGATTCTCATGATATTTCGTACTGCATACTGTCAGGAGAAATGGCATGAACTTGAATAAAGTAATACATTCTGACAGTAACTATTTTAGAATACCTTCTGCACATGTGGGTATGTAGCTGTTCATTCTGATGATTGCACAGGAGCTCCAGAAAATCTGTGGCTGTGATCCCCTCCATTTCAAGCAACTACAGGTTGTTGAGGAAGTATTTGAAAATATATGCAACAGCTCTCTGATATTTGGTGATATTCTGACAGAAATTAAGGTAAGAAATATTCCTAAGCTTTAGCACAACATAAGCTAAATGTACCTTAACTATTGTTTTAAATGCATTATTTCCCAGGGCCCTTTGCCAATTTTTTTCTCAGTGCATCTGAGACATTTAACCCTTTTTAGCTACAGTGAGGAAAGTGATTCTCCTGGGGATTTATATTCTTCAGGAGACTTTTCTCTGCCTCCTTGCTCACATGTTAAGATCAAACATACCTAACAAACTTCATGGGCTCATAGCATCATTTGTTTTTTTTTATTTAATCACCTGTGTTCTCAAAGGCGATGGCTGGTTTCTTCCTCATTTTTGCTCCTTCTCCCACTGTACACAGGTAAGCAAACAAGAGCAGAGAATAGAAGTGTTAAGAGATAGGCCTCTATAGAAAGTTGGTTTCCAGTCTGCTCAGTGATTTGAGCTGACACCATTTCCATCCATAAGCATCATCGTGTTAATGGAGAAAGGAGAAATCACAAGGAATTGCACACCTCTGCAAATCATCTGCAGATGCAAAGGCCACAAGACTGGAGGAAATAGCACTGGGGAGAAAGGTGAATTGGAAATTGCTTATATTCAGTGGTTCAGGAGCAGGCTAAGTTTTCAGTCACTGCTTTCATTCATTCAAATTAGGGCTGTGACTGTGTGTGTTTGTTAAGTGTTTCCCTCATTTTTTTTTTTTATGGCTGACCAGCAAACTAAACTGCATGGCTCTAAAACCCATGTGATTTTGTCTTTAGGGCATTCCCAGTTCTGCTTCTGGCCCTACTGGTGAGACAACAAGCCCTTGCATGTGCCCCAGTATTCCTACTGTGACTTTATGCCTTTTAATTAACCATATAGCAGCAAGCCATGACTTTTGCTTCCTGCAGTGTCCCCTAGGTTACGAGACAGCAGCATCACATGCAATACTTACATTTGCGCTTGCTCAAATGTCTCTGTATGGTCAGGAGAGAAGAGCAGACAGCGTTTGGGAAAGACATATGAGTTCTTTCCCAGGTTTCCCCTAATGTGCTGTGTGAGTTACACAAACAGACACCAAACATCTGGCTACCACTTAGGCACTTTGATAAAAGCATTACTAAAAAAACCCCACAAACCAAAACCCCAGCCTTCACTAACTTTTTTTCTGAAACTCTAGCCCTATTTCTAAAATCATTAAAATGTTTGGCGGAAAAACAAAAATCAGTCTGTAACCTACTGGTGAATTATTTTTCCACCTCTCACTTTGACAGTTACACGTGAGGAGTGATAATTCTTATCTGACTTATGAGGCAGTTTCCTATTCTTTTTTTCCTTTTGATTTTTCACTATGCTGAAGGATGACACTTGAAAACCTTTATTTGAGGACCAAATCTGTTTGTTTATTCTCTTGGGCACTTAGGACAGTGATTTGCATGTGGAACACAACTAAAACGTTATAGGCAAAAAATGAAGTTGCACTCTGATTCTGTACACTGTGATGTGGTGCTAGTGATGGTAGAAAATCTACATTGACTGTCCCAGTAATAACTGAGAGGAGAAAAAGTCATTCCTCCATATTTGTTGACAAAATAATTACTCACTAAAATCCAGCATTTGTAGGCAAGAGAAGGGAAGAGGGGGCAGGCATTACAAGCAAGAAATCCTTGAGGAAGAGGAGCTAGTTGGGTAAGTGAACTGTGCTGAGAATGACATTTGCATAGTCAAAATCCAAATGATCACCTCTGGGTTTTGAACAAACCCATGTGTGGTAGCAGAAGTAAACCTTCTGTCACAGCACAAAAGGTATGATTTTCCTGGAGCCAAACTGAAACAAGAATCTGTAATCTCTGGACAGTGTTAAACAATTTTGATGGTTGTTTTTCCTCTCAATTTATTTAGTGAGTATGAGCTGTACATGATGTTTCTGGACTCTCTGCCTATAACACAGTACAAGGTAGTATTTGCTTGTCAATATTAGCTCCTTTCCTTGGTGATGTTACAGATAAATTAAGTATTTGAAGTCAGGTATTGGCACTTCCTGAACTTATCATTGGCATAGGAAATCTAGTGCTCGTCCTTTGCTTCATTGCTTACAACAGTTTCTGTAGGAGCAACTCACAGTAGAGAAATCTGAGACAGCAACGGCTACAGAAAGAGCAGAGCATTGGCTGAAGAGTCTGTGCTGGATTTCCAAAGTATCAAACCTATTGTCCTTCTGTCTCCTCTTTGGTAGGGCCACATCAGGCTTTGTGCCAGCTTTACTGCAGAAGTGCTGCTGTACAGAGGGTGACATAGGCCTCAGGCTGCCAGGAGTAGTGCCACACACCCCTTCCACCGGCCTCTCCCACCAGTGACATCTTACTTCTGGCAAAAGGAAGAGGCACCAGGAAAGGTGTGCTCCACTATGGAAGTAGAAGGGGAGCACAGAGGAGATGTCAAGCCCTGAGGGCCGAGCCATCCCTGACTGGCCCTGCCCAGCCCCCCTGGAGCCTCTTCCTACCCTGCCCATGGCACAAGACCCCATTTCAACCCAGCCTGGACCTGTCAGTCCTTGCCCCTTTCTCTATCTGACCCTTTTGTATTCTTCCCCTTTTTACCTTCCCTACTCCAAAACTAGCCCCTTCCGCTCCTGACAGCTTTTTAAGCCAGTGTTCTCCATCGACCCAGAGCCAATCCTTTGGATTTGCTCTGAGGATTTCACCCTAGTTATCCACTTTCTTTAGCATTGAGCCTGGGAGCTCCTGTGTGGTATTGACAATCTGTTGAAATGAAAATGAAAGGTAATGATGAATGTGGCACTGTTGACAGCATAAGTGCTTTGTCTAGGGTGTGTGTTACTACACACCGCTCAATGGTAAAACACCTGAAAGGATTGTCCAAAAGCAAGGGGTTTGCATGAGTCTGAGTCTTCATATTTACTGGCTGTGACACACAGAGGGAATCATCCATATTCTTTTTTATCTGTAACAAACCTTTAATCTATTTACAAATGGAAAGAACTTTGAGTGACTAAAACCTGCCATAGGGTATTTTTTGTTCATGTCTGGCCATATTAGCTCTTAGTCTCACAAGCAGCTCATTCAGAAGTTTTCATCAGAACTGAATTTTACTGAAAATGTAATTTTAAAAATGGTGCCAGAACCTGTAGCAAAGGAAATAAATATTCAATTACATGACTTCACATTTTACTCTTTTTCATGCATTCTCATAGGCTCTGAAGGCTCAGGTCAAAGGGATGGAGACAAAGCCTTCAAAGGCTCCAAAAATACAGGCACTCAGGAAAGATGTACAAGTTCTCATGAAGAAAGCCAGTACTGCTCTGGAAAGAAACAAAGAGTAAGTGTTGCAAATGCTGTCAACCCCTCTAGCAGCAACTGGGTAGATGGGATAAAGCAGAAACAAGTAAATAGAGTTCTTGAAGTTTTTAAAATGTCAGGTCTTGGAGGCAAGGCCAAAGGATCAGACCCTGTGGATGGCCTGTTCTAGGCAAAAATCTTTCTCCTTTCTTAATATCTTGTTTTTGATTTCTGCCCCCCCGCCCCATCTTTTGTACCAATCACACTGGGAGACATGGTTTAGCTCTGAGAAGGACAAAGGCTTTCTTTTGCCATTCCCAAGTGACCCCCACCAAAAAGCTTATGTCATCACAGAGAAGTCTCCTGACCACACAGACTGCAGCCTGCATTGTTAAATTTCAGACTGTGTCGCTTTTACTGGGACGTTGGCTTTGTTCCCCATTATGGAGACAACAAAGCCTGTGCTTTCAATTGCTTGTGTCCTGACCTCTAAGACAGGACTTGATTTGGCTTCCTTATTTTGATTAGCTTATTCTCAGACTTTCTGAGGCTCCTTGTCTTCTTTGGACTGACCCAGTGTTTCCATGCCTCTGTTGCGTGCTCCCGATATTTTATATCACAGCTTCCAGATCTCCTTACTGTTGCTCCAAGCTCTGATCTGACTTGCTACCCTCAGTGTTTGACCATATGGTTGTTTTACTCTAGAGCTCTAACCTTTAGGCTTGAAAGCTGTCCTAGCAGGAGATTTTACCTACCAACTTTCCTGTTCTTGCCACCTCCACTGTCTGAACCTGAAGAATTAAGAAGTCACTCTTTCACTAAGCTGCTGGTTCCCCTTCTTACCCATCCTTTTTTCTTATAAATGTTACTCTAACTAGACTAGATGACTTAAGAGGTCTTTTATGTCTTTGCAATTGTAGTTTCCAGTGTATTTTGCGTGTACACATTACAATATTTACACTGTGCTTTTGAAACGTAGTTTGGATGATTCTGCAGTTAAGATACTGGAATGTGAAAGAGACTCATGTTCACTAGTTCTGCTAGTGTAAACAAAGATAATTAACAGTGGCCCAGTACTCTACACGTCTATACTTGTCTACAGACAGAGAATTCATAATGTGTTACCATGGGATAAAGTCAAACTGGCATGAATTTAAGATGGATCGGGAGCATAGTGTGGAATATTTATAGAGCACGCATATGCAAATTTTATCTAGGCTACAGAGATTGATTTTTGTGCAAGCTTTTATATATTTTAGATAATGTGTTACCATGGGATAAAGTCAAACTGGCATGAATTTAAGATGGATCGGGAGCATAGTGTGGAATATTTATAGAGCACGCATATGCAAATTTTATCTAGGCTACAGAGATTGATTTTTGTGCAAGCTTTTATAAATATTTTAGAGGTAAAGGGGAAAAAATATGACATTTTGTCTTCTGCCAAAGGGCTGAAAGGGAATAATCATAAACATCCTAGAATGATCTAAAGGATCATCTTGAGCGATTTGACAGCTAAAAGTATAAAAAATCAATACCCTATAAGACTGTTCAGTTCTGGATACCAATCTGTTTCCAGAGAAGTCTAGGAACTTGCGCTATCCTAATTACAACTTTCTAGCTTTGCATGAAAACTAACAATGAAAATCTGAGTTATTTGCATACATTAGTTGCTACTGGGAGCCTAAGACTGAATTTTTCCTCTTGCCATGGACCATGTGTAGTCCCTTCTTTGTATAGGGAAACCATCCTTGAAGGGTGGGCAGAGGAAAAGATTTTCGTACAAGACTGATGTATTTTTTAAAAGAACATTGGTTAGTAGATGTTAGAATATCTGGTAGGATTTTTGAGATCTGATGAGGAGAGGGGAAATAAGACTACTGAAGTATATGCAAAGAACTAAGCCATCCACTTATGTTATTGTGATATCTATGTGTGTAAGTAATGTGTAATAGCTTCAGTATTTTCATTCAGTGAACAAGAAGTTTCCCCTCTTACAAAAAGAAGTTGCAGTTTTAATGAAGTAGAGGGTGATTGTTTGAATCCTGTTAGCTCTTCACAGAGAGTCAATTCTTCTCTCCTTTGTATCACCCAGCATTCAGACCTGGGGTCACTTTGCTGTAATTCAGTGAGCTTGAATTTGCTCTATGCCCTGTTAGAGCAACATTTGGCCTCTGGACATGTGTAATAATCATCATTATATGTAACAACTATTTACTCACATCTAACTTTGTATATGATCTTGAAAAGATATTTGTGAAACTGTTGTTCTCTTTTGTTCTATTCTAGACCGAAGACTGAATTAGAAATGGTGCCACAGATGAGCCAGTGCAGGACAGTGCTGAGTCAAGCAGAAAAGAAATGTGGCACAAATTATGGTAATAAGGTCTTCTAAAGGGTCGGAAGGAAAACCAACCAAAAATTACCTCAGCTGTTGAGATTTTTCCTCTTAGTATGAATAAAATATGCTGACATCTAATGAAATCAAGCGCATAACATCTTTCTTATATTTCTTTCACTCCTGGCCTTATCTGAAACCAGTAGATGTCAGTGGGAGACTTTCTAATGCTGAAGAAGCCTAGGAAACTGCCAAATCGTCTCTGAGTCTGTGACTGATTCTGTCACTGTCAGAGTCACAGCACTCTGGTGTGTTAAAGATGTCTCAGGGGATGGTACATGAAACCCTTCGGCTGGCAGAAATGTGATAACTGGATTTCATGCTTATCATGAGTAGGTTAAGCCCTGAGTCACGTGCTTTCATGTGCCCTTCCTAAGCTTCTTTTCAGCATTCACTGTATCAGTCCTGGATGCTCTAGTTATCCACACAATAGTCCAGTGCCTCTTGGATGCTTGCTGGGTACTTTGGTTCAGTAACAGCAATGAGGTTTACAGTCTATTTATGTACTGCTCAAGAAGGGAGTGTCTTTGGATAAGGCCTTTGATCAGTGGGATCTGGATCAGAACCTTTGAGTAAGATAAAATACATAAATCTGGAAGGTTGTGGAAGAGCAGAAAGAAAAGCTGACTGATGATGAACTGGGAAATCCCGTGAAATGCTATCAGGGTAGAGTATAGTATAACTAGTCTGACTGTAATATACCTGCATTTTATGCCTTTATTGAAAACCTGTACTCAAAGCACAGTTTTCTTCCAGAGCATGAGAACACACCAGTTAGCAAATTATAATGTGGTAAATAAGGAAATAGCTGTTTAAGTGGTGATATAAAATGCCTTCTGCATTTCCTCGTTGAGGAAAGAGGAAGATCTAAATCTGCTTTCTGTGCAGTGTCTCGGTGTCCTAGTGTCCTGCACCAGGCTGTGGGTAGTTGTTAGCTTCACCATGGGCAGCTATCACTGGCCTCTAACTCACTTTTACAAACACACCTTCAATAGGAACAACATTTGAACAATCAAACCAGCTTTTGCTTTTTTTTTTTTCCCCCTTGGCAATTAAACTGTCCCAAATTTCTCCCTAGTGTAACTGTCTTCCCGTCTATGAATGTATGCCTGAATGCAGCTGCCCTGATAATGTTTGTTTCTACAGCACGGTACAGGTTTTGAATTCGAGAGCTTTGCAGCCAACCACTAAAAAACCCATAAAATCAGTCATTGGCTCTGGGTCTCCCGCAGGACTAATGAATAAAACAACCAGAAGTCTCCAGGCCAAGGCATATCTGAGGAATGGTTTTGCATAAAATGAGCTAAAAGACATTTAAACAATGGGTAAATGTTTCTCCCCTTCTCCTCCCTACCAGGTACTAATTTAAAAATGCTTACTCAGTTAACCTCAAACTTTCCCTCCCTACCTTCCTCAATTACACATTGAGGAATCCAAACCATCCAAGTCAGAAAGATGTAAATGTTGCTGTTCTTCTTTTGTGTTACAGCTGTATTTAGAAGCCCAAGCCAAGAAATTTGGGCCAAATGTGCTAATGTGTGCTGGCACTATAGGGAACAAGGCTCTGCAAATATTATTTGTTGGGGATTTTTTTGTTTTTTTTTTTTTGTAAGGTGGGGTGCTAAGCAATTAAAAAAGTGTTCAATCCAAGTTAACTGGAAATGAGAACTTTACAGTTTTCCCAGAGGAAAAAATGGAGAGCTGATTATTTTTTAAAATTGAATAAAATGTTTTCTTAATCTTTTCTAAAAAAGAAGGCATTATTTCCTTCTCTCCAGGTAGCATTTCTGCAAGGTCCTTCCAGGACCAGTAGCTATCCTGATCCACAGAGTGGGGATATGCTCTTTATCATTTTAAGTGACTCACACGGAAGGACAGGGTTTTTGAGAAGCTAGTGGCCATTAGCCCCTGGGACGGGGAGCAGCAGGAAGCACAGTCAGGCAATTTCCCCACATGAGGCAGTGCATAACTCAAGCTGGGCTCACACTCTCTTCCTCCAGCCTGCCTCGCTTTTCATCAAAGCTGTTGGCTCTCACTGGACCTATTGACTACACACTGATACTGCACTGTAGACCAGAGGGAGGCAGAGGGCGGTTGGCTGCCCATGACAAGCTGCTTGGAGAGTAGGAATTTTAGGTGTCCTGGGATCACAACAGGCAGTTTTTAATCGTTGAAACGTTGTCATTACCCAACACAGTGACCTAGTCCTGAATCTGACAGCGTGGCACAAAGTCGTTATGTTGCAAATGTGGCTAATGAACTACTGTGGGCTCCGAAATCTCCTCCCAGCTCCAGGGCAGCCCCTGAGTCATCAGGATTTTCTTGACCTGCTCACTGCACCAGTCAGACAAGCCAGGCTGCACCATTAGGAGCTCTCACACAGCAGAGACAGACCAGTTCATCCTCATCCTGTTCTCACTCCCTTCACTGGTGTCTTCCTCCTTCCTACCTTCCCCTCTCTGCCTGCTCTGCAACCGCAGAGCCTCAGAGGTGTAACCCTGCACCCTGGCATCTTTTCTGGTTGCTCCGCTTTCCATAGCTTCCCTTGTGGACAAATACCGAGGTGAACCAAGGTGTGGGAGACAGATAAAACAGCATGACCTTGAGCTGCACTGTCACCAGGGAAGAAAGTAGTTTATTTGTATTAGTCCAGACCCTTGGAGTGAGGGGCACTATTAGTCTGTGCATGTAGCTCCCCTCATTCCCTAGATGAGGAGCTGGCAAGGCCCCATAATACAGCTCTGGCTGCAGCAGCACGGACACTGACAGGCTGCAGATGAGCTCACTGACAAGCTGTGAAAAGCTGAAAAAGTCTTTGACTCAAATAAGACCCTAGCTGGGCAGGAGTGTGAGCTGGCCATGTAGGATCTTGTAGGATCACGTTACTGACTTGTTTTAGTGAGGTGAGTGAGCGAGATGGCAGTGAAGTTGCCCTGTAAAATTCTGAAGTGCATTTTCTGGACTCTCCTAAGGGAGTACAGCATATTTATTCTGCTCCTTGCATGCTGTCATCTGTTCTCCGTGCCGGGATGCAGTGATTTCCTCTTGGTTGTGTTCCTCTTGTATCTAGAGCCTGACCGTATTTTTGCATTAAGTGCTAAAGGGCCTTGGTTGGGGTGACTGGGAAAGGTGAGTGGCATAGCTCGTGTGCCAATATTCAGACTGGTGGAAATGAAGTGGGGGTACGGTGGGTGTGTGTACCAGCTGAACTGGGGGCAATGTTGTGGGTAGTCCTGGTGTGTATGGCCTGGCTTGGTTAACTCAAGCTGGTCCTTGGGTATGCCTACTGAAAGCACTATGGATGCCAATTAGCTTTCCACTTCCAGCTCTGTCCTTAAATTGTACATGTATTTTTATACTTCCAGAAACATGCAGCAGACATGAGACAAAGAGGATAGCACAAAAACCGCTTTCTGTTTCTGAACAGCTTGAATCTATGAGGTGTAAAGTTCTCGATAAAGGGGAGGAAATGAACATACTAGAGCCTGAGAAGAAAGAAACAATGGTTCATGCTGGGACAGTGGATATCATGGAAAACACTCTTAAAGAAATAGAGGCAAGAAATCATTAATTCTAAACATGTCCTAGCAAGGTTTCTCGAGAAGTACTGGTGTCCAGATACTACCATGATGGACCCTTTAGCACTGAGATTGACACTCAGCGGTCTTTATTTTCTCCTCTGAGAACATATGTGCCTAGTCTGGGCACTTCGATGACCACCACAGTGTCCAGCCTCTGACCCTGTAATAGGAGGCTTGTAGGTTGATCATCGCTGTGTCAGATGATGGTCTACAGACATAGGGGTTATTTCTGCATTCATTTTATGAGTTTGGGGATTTGTAATCAAATGTACATTAAACAGCTACAGCTTCATTATTTTTAGCCTGTTGAATTTCTTGGCCTGGAGAATGGGATGGTTCTGGGTGGGATTTTCAAGTATCCCAAGTTGGCATCATCTACCCTTGAAATGAATACTGAAATGCCTAGTAACCTCAAAGGGGGAGAGATAGGACAGGCCTGATTCCCTTTGAAATCCCATTTCTAGATGCTTAAATAACTGAATATTACTGCAGATTATTCACTGGGGTATATAAATGACCATAGCTGTGAACACATTTGAGACACAGACAGGAAGGCCAGGTTTAAGTCTAGATTGAAAATGAGATCGATGATGGATTGTTGATATCAAGTAATTGATTTTTTATAAAATTACAAATATTAACATGAATACTTCTTTACAGAATAATGTTATTACCTTTGGGTTTTTTGTAATTAGCTAGGCTAATTTTGTAATTATTGGTTGAGCTCTCATTGCCATTGGTGTTGTACAAAGCAAACAGTGAGAGACAGGCTTGTATTGAATATTGTGCAATCCAAGGTACAGAACCTACAGAGATTTGTTTATGTGCTAAAATTTGCATACTGAGAGTGGCCTGTGTGAGGACCACTTAAACTATAAAAGTTAGATGCTTGCAAATTTCTGCAGGATTAGTGCATTCAGCATTTAAAAACAGTATTCCTTTTCTACTGGCAGTTGTGCAGTTAGAAATAGCACATGATCTCAATAAAAGCACTTTTAACCTGTCCTTGTCACTGGGTACGCCGGTAAGTGTTCCAGCTGTGTGAAGTGAGGAGGTAATTTCATGCAGCTAAATAGATGCTAAAAGTACAGTCAGCATGAATAGGGAATAATGTGTCACTCTTAATGGTGGGCAAACAGCAGTTCTTTATGTAGAGCTTATGTTTGGCTAAGCATCTAAAAGGTCAAACATTTCTCCAAACTTTCTGTCCCCTGAAGCAGAGTTATACCTGTTGACAGGACATCAAATTAATTAATTAATAGTACTGAGAATAAAACAGAGCTGCCAGAAAGTCACAGGAAAGCTGAAAAAAACCTGTGAAAAACACGTAACATAAAAATTGCCCAAAGTCTGTATTTCTCTCTTCAGCAGTTCAGGTATAGGTACAGCCATTGTGTTCTTGTACTATGCTTGACTGCCTTTAAATTGAATGATATATTTAAAATCATTGTTTTTCCTGCCAAATTTTTCAACCAACCCTTTGCACTGCTACCTAAGAGTACAAGACAGAAGTCTGTCACTTGTTTCTAAAGCAATTAGCAGGCCTCCAGCATCAGAAAGCTTTGGGGGAGGAGGTGAACTCATGGTTAAATTAACAAACTTACCTGTTAACAAGATATTAAACCAATGAATTGCAGCAATGGGTCATGACAACTTCCTTTTTTTTTGCTGGCAAACAGGAGATCTTAGGCTCCATGTGCCTTCTGAAATGTTCCTGCGTACGCTCTGTAAGATATGCTCCCACAGCATGATAACAAATGAGTATATGAAATCTGGTCCTCTGAAAAAATAGCCACTCTGAGAAGTTCCTCTCTTTGCTTTTTTAAAACAAATATGAATATTCAGAAGATCTTTAAATATAAATTGCTGGTTTCTAGAGTGGGTTTTTTTTGGGGCTGGGCTGTGTCTGTACTGTAATGAAAAAGGACAGTCAGCAGATGGCAATGTTGTATAGTTGTTCTAGCAGGAGACCGCCACATCAGCAAGGGACGTAAACCTCTGATATTCCCTAAGTAGCCATGAGGGAAAATGGAGTGGCCCCTCCGGGCCATTGGAGAGTTGGCCCTCCAAGCATACTTTGGCTGAATGAATGCTTGTGTAGGCTTACTGAGTTTTTATTACTATTTGTAACAGCAATTCAACATTTAAAACCCCTCATTTGAAAGGGCAAGCCCATTATCATTTAAGAAGAGCAATCTAATTAAACTAGTGCATTTCCATATTCTTTTAAAAACATGATTTCATAATGCTACATAAGTACAACGTGTTCTTTCCCACACAGATTACATTTTTAAAAAGATAAGTGGGTCTGATGCATTTGCTTTTGCTGGAATGTTGTGTGACAATTTAACTGATCTGTTATTGCCTTTTCAGGCTGAAACTAGGAAAATCAACTCATCAAACACGTTTCTCCAAGGCCAAATAAAAGTTATTTCCTTTGAACCCACTGTGGTTCAGGCATAATGCAAACTAGTTTATACATGAGTTTTCTTCACTAGGTCTAATCCCAAATCACTGGAAAGCTGCTCTTTGGCTTCAGCAAGTTCCAGATTAGGCCTGCTGTGCTTTGCCAGCTAGAAAGTTGAAAGGTACTGGATATATTTCCACCTCTTTTTTTTTTTTTTTAAACTACCGTGGAGTGCTATTAGAGTACTTTGATCTAAATATGTAAATCAAAGCTGCAAAAGCTCCCTGCTTCCAACTGTACTGAAGGCACTGGAAGGAGGTAAAAGAGCCTGTTGTAGGTAACTCCAACATATAAAATCCATGGAATAGCTCAGCAAGAAGAACTTGGAAACACTTCTGTAAAATATAGGGACTAACAGATGTCTTGAGAGAAGAAAAGTGAGTAATAGTTTGAATAAAACAATCTTTGGTTCAGATGATATTCTGCTGCACACTCTGAAGTATGAAGCTCTGTGTTAGCAGCTGAAAGAGCAGGCATCATTTCAGATGTTAGTGAAATGTGAAGTACGAAGCTCTTTGCATCCGAGCAGAGTCTAGCAGCTCGATCTAAAAGCCAGAAATGGACATGTATGCTGAAAGACAAAATCAAGTCATTTGTATCAAAGTAATTGATTTAGCAAAAGCAATGCTATGAATACCCTTCTTGTTTACATGGTAAGACCTGGTTTTACTGTCTGTTGGGTTTCCCTCAGGGTACAAGAACTGGCAAGAAGTGAGGCTCTATGTCAGACTCAAAGACATGTGTAACTTGAGATGTAGTGTTAAATTAAAACTCCTGTCACACAGGAACTACTTACTATAATTTATGTCAAGGTTAATGGAGTAAAAAGTATTGGAGTATTTTAAATGCTGATCAGACATGTATCACTGCAGATTTTTTCTTATGTACTGAAGTATATTTCAATGTTTCTCAATATTTATGTCTTTTTTACAGGAAGTTGAAGGAAATATCACAGAAATTTTAGATAAATTGAGAATCACTCAGGAAAATCAAAGGTGAGTCTGAAATGTTCAAATATCTATGTCAGTGGGGTTACACAGAAAGTATTAGAGTGATGGAAATGCTGGTCGTAACAACTTGCTAGGTCAAAGTAAGACAGATTAATTATTAATAGCAGCAGTGTTCAAGTGCTGGTTGTAGAGCACACACAGTAGCAGCTGGGAGTCATAATCAGATATTATAGGTTTGACTTCAATATGGCCCAGAGTGTTAAATAAGAAAAATTAACAATGGGAATTATGCATAGTGTTTGATTAACAACTCTGATTGCTTCAGTTGTTTATTTAGGAACAGAATGGACACATTATGGTACTTGTTGAAGCCTTGTAAGTTTTCTGACAGTGTCCTGCTGATGGTTTTTTCACACTTGACGTGGAGGAATTCAATCCCTTGTCTGTTCTGACATCGCTCACTAGTGCCGGTTTTGGTAACTTCTTTGTGAAGTAGAATTTTTTTTATGTTGGGAACTGGCTTGAGATTCCTAGACTTGTTTCACATAAAAAACTTTTTTTTTTTTTTTGGAAAGGGGTAGATTATGGGGTCATCTCAAGCATCTGAGATAACATGTTTTAGGAAGTTAAAGCATGCAGCTTTGGTTATTGATGCTGCCTGTCAGAAGTAAATACTGAATATATTTGTTGCTGTGGTGCTTTCAGTATTTAGGTTTAGCGCAAGACTGTTTTTTCTTGCTATGTTTTTAATGTTCCAAAGCCTTGGATGAGGACCCATCCAAGCTGAAACAGCATGGAAGAGAGGCTGTCTCTACTTATTGATCCACTGTTAATGCCATGAAATGCATATATGCAGAAAGGCATAGGTTTCAACATATGTGGCAGAGCTTCAGGTTGGTTGCGAGTTTGTAGTGCCGCTCACAGGTTTGCTTTTCATACCTGCAATACAGTTTTACAAAAACTAAGCAAATGTCAGCCATAACTAAGGCTCCATATGAGTTGAAAAAAATATATAAAATAGCTGAAAAGTCTAGTTTATTGTCAGAACAGAAGGTAGCTTTTCACTCATGTGCCTTGCTATTGTCCTCAGGCATTTTTGCACCTACAATTTATCGGTATAAGAAATCACTGCATCTAGGCAAATCAGGTAGTGGCAGGCTGCAATCAGTTTAATTCCTGTTTGCTGCATGCCTAATTTGTTAGTTTATATCTGCACGTGTAATGCAAATGATTTAATCTATCAGCTGGAGGTGGACATCGCAGGTTAGTAAAAGGCCTGAGCAGCACACAGAAAGGCCCACTGACCTTAGTGTGTTTTGGGTCCGCCTTTTAGATTTTCAGACATTAGGCAGACATTATGGAGTTGTCTCCTGTTGTTATAACACAACACTCTCTAAGAGAACGGTTTCTCAAATTTAGATGGCAGGTGGTGTTTTGTGCCATAGGGCCCAGAACAGTCGCTGCAGGTTCCTGTTGTGTCTGTCTGGGAGCTATACACTTTCAGGCACAGTTATAAGATTGTTGGTAAAAATCCAAAATGATACTTACAGACTCCAAAGAACAAGATCCATTAATATAGAAAAGAATGATTTCATTTTCATCTTATTGCCAACATTTGGTGTTAAAGGGGGTATGTTTTATTTGCTGACACAGGCATAAATTTTTACTTTAAATTGTATTAGGAAAGTAAGAAAATCTTTTTTTTCAAAGAAGACTTGAGTATTAGCAAAAAAGAACCTTGAACTCAGATCTTATGAGATATAAAGATTTTCAATTAACTTTTAGCTTAAAATAGAAAAATGATGAATTCTAGGAGTCTATGGAATCTCAAGGTTAAGCTTCAGTTAATTTACTGTTTATGGCTCTTTGATGAAGTTGAGAATTGCCAACGTCAGATTTCACAAGGTGGTATGTACAGTTACATTAGACTTTTCTTGTTAGAGGGTGGCAGTGCAAATAGCTCTCAATTCAGGAGCTGCTACCTAATGATCTAAGACCACTAATATATGATAATTTCATGAACATGGAGAGTAACCTGCTTTATGGTATGAAGTTACTGTATATCATGTTGTTAAAATTTCCTGGATGGATGCATTCATTAAGCTTAATGAGGGGGAGGGGAGGAATTAGAAGAGAACAACAGTAAAGCGAAGCATGAAATCTAAATAAACAGTCTCCCCACAAACAGCATGGAGAGCACTTACTAGACAATGGCATATATCTGGCCTCCTGCTTAAATTTGCAAGACTTGCTTTGCCAGAGCCAAGTGCTAACAGATCTAGAAATTTATGGGCAATTATGAAATTATATGCAAAATTACATGAAAGTGTGTTGGTTACTGATAGTTACGTTCCCTTCAGGAACTGAACATAAGTCAGGGTAGCTGAGGTGGTAAGGATGACATAAAGGACCTGTAGGAATAGGAGAGTCGTTTGATCCTTCCCTTCAAAAAGATATTTATAGCTCATGGTCTAAGAACATGCACAACAGGAAAGGTGCAAACAGGATGATAAAACATGATCACACTTGCATCTGCTTAGAAATTACAGAACTGTGCATGAACCTACTGTCTGGTATTTCTTTGATTTTGAAATGAGAGTTGTATGACCTGCAGGTCAGGTATGGAACTTAATAGATAAAAGTCAATGTCATTTGACAGACCAAACTTGGAAGAAAACGAAGTACAGTTCTGTCTGAGAGGATAATAGGATGTATTTTGTGAAAAGTTAAAATTTGGGAACATTATTAACGTGGAATAATTGGTCAGCCAAAAGGCTATTAGAAATAAAACATCAAGGTAATTAGTAGTAGATATAGTTGAATACAAGGTTAATTAGTCTCATTCGTATGATGTTAATTATTAAAAGTAATCAGCCCTGGGATACTTACAGAAGCGCTCTCACTAAATGTTTTAAAAAATGTAACAGAAAGACTCTTACATTTTGCTTCCAGCAGAGCTTATGTATAAACCTTTTAAAGATGCACACTGTCTTGGGATATTTGCATAACAAGATGCTTTATAAAGTGAATGTCCAAAATTCTGCCCCTCCCCCCCCAATGTTATGAACCACATTTCTAGAGCTGAGATTATTCTCTTTCTCCAGGACAGATCAGGGAGACTGAAACATTAACAGTAGCATGAGATTTCTGAATCAAAGCCTATCTTGAGGCATAATTAAAGGAGGACGTCTGATTGTCTGAAGTCAAAACTGTATCATCCTTTGCCCTTAATGCACATAAGATAACTTAGATGACATTTAATTAGAGGCAAAGCATGGATTAATACTTATTTAATATCTACAATAGAAGCTTCCCTCAGGTGCTAAGAGATTGTCCAGAGAATTGGGGCAAATATTTAGCCTGCGTCTGCAGGTAAATAAAAAATTTGCAGCAAACAATTTACTTAGCCAAGTTTCTACTGTTTCTGCAGCAAAAATGTGATTTCTTCAGGCTTAGCAGCTATCTGATGGAAAACGTCTTAATTTTAATGCTGATTTGAGAAATTAAAAATATTCAAAATACAAAAGTTTTAACACTATTTTTTAGCTGTAAATAGATGGATTAAGTCATATGGTTTTATTTGCGTACCTGGTTAGATGATTGAATCTACAGCTCTGGTGGAAGTAGTGAAATTCTTTTTGGACTTAGCTTTCTGTTCTCATTTGTATTGGTCAACTGTCTCTCTCAGGACTTTGTAGAAGGTGGCTAGAAAACAGCTACAAAATGTGATGAAATACATTCTTTTGAATGTGAGTAAATATTTATGAGGAAAAAAAAGCAAACCCTGTATTTATTGTCAGGTCTTAACAGCTCTATTTGATCCCTACCTAAGTCACTGCAGGAAAGGAAAGCAACAGGAAAGCAAGATATGCTGTGGAAGCAATGATGTCCACACTCAGCATTATGAAACCTATGGACCAGTGCCATGGATATAAAACATCTTTACTTTCAGTGCATAATACCAGATCTAGAAAAGGTGTCTCTCTTGGTCTCTGTTCCTTAGAAAGTTGTAGAGGGGAACAGCATATCTTTATGTTCTAGAGCTGTTGCATCCAGTTGAGAAGAACAGGCAGGTGGATGGTATCTTTCTGCCTAGATCCATTCCAACAAATTTCAGTCATCTAACAAGATGCTAGGGAAGATGAATTATCCTCTGGAGATGAATCTTTCCCTAAAAGCAACCTCAAATGCCTGAAGTTAGATGAGTTGGTCTTAGTTCCTTTTGTATGGCTCATAATGGGAAGACTCCCCAGTGCTGCCTGTGTTTGCATTGGGGTGTTGGCTGTCACTGACTTAGATCTCAGTTTCTGCTCAGTGATTGTGTTGGTTGTATGCTATACGTTTTTTAGGAAGGTGTGGAAGCTAATAGAGGGAGTCTTGTTACCTGAAAATGAAGAATGAGTTTCTGAGAATCCGGAAGAAAATAAGGGCGATGAAGTAAAGGAAGATAAATACTCACCACTTCAAATGTACTCTTAACATCTTGAAGTTGTGCAAATGGAATCCAGGCTTGAAAAACTACTGTTGGACCTTAGAATCAAGTATTATAATGCAATTTCAAAATCAGAAATGTGATTTCATTTTTGCATACATTATTGTGGGTAGCTCTACTGTCTGCATAAAGATATTTTCATATAACATTTTTAGAAAATGTCTAGTGCTAGTAATATTTATATTAAATAGCTGTGTTGTTCTATACAGTTTTCAGTAGACACTGCTTGGCTTCTTTCCTTATGGGAAAGTCATGGCTTCTTTCCTTATGGGAGCACCAGCAGGTATTAATTAAACTCTCAGGACAGAACTCACAAGTGGAAGTTATTTAAATAAATCAAAGGTGCATCTTCTAAATAAGATACGTATACTGGTCTTGAATCAGGCCTTGAATTATGGTAGTACATACTGGCATATGAACATTGCTTACGTGAGTCTTTTCACAATCCCCAAATTTTGGCTTTCATTTTATGAAATCTGACTGGCTGCAGAATTTTTTTGAAAACATGAGTCGGGTTCAGATCAAGTAGAAGCATATGCCTGATTTTGCAGAAAGCCTGAAAAAACAGATCAAAGAAAAGAACTAGTCCTTTCAACTGGAAAGGGTGTTGTTGTGAATACCCATAATTAAACTTTTGCTATGAGGATTGTTTCTGTTTATCTTTATGAAAGAATGTGAAGAAAAAGTAGGAAGGAGACAGATTATACCACCTGCATAGATGTAGCCATGCTAAAGGAACATCTTATTTTGGCCCATGCAGGATCACCTGGTGACAATGGAATCTTTTTTTTCAACTTAATAAGTAATCAAATGGAAAGGGGATGTGGGAACATTCACATTTCACAGCAAGCAAGACAAACCTAGAGATGTCAATGTGTCAAATGGATGTATTTGTATCCATTGAAGGGCCATTCAATCCAAGAGACTCATAGACTGTACAAAATGGAAAGGGGATGTGGGAACATTCACATTTCACAGCAAGCAAGACAAACCTAGAGATGTCAATGTGTCAAATGGATGTATTTGTATCCATTGAAGGGCCATTCAATCCAAGAGACTCATAGACTGTACATCCCAGTTTAACCAAGTGTCCTGGTTTTGGCTGGGATAGAGTTAATTTTCTTCCTAGTAGCTGGTATAGTGCTGTGTTTTGGATTTAGCGTGCAAATAATGTTGATAACATACCGATGTTTTAGTTGTTGCTAAGTAGTGCTTACACTCAGTCAAGGACTTTTCAGCTTCTCGTGCTCTACCGACTGGGAGGGCTGGAGATGCACAAGAAGCTGGGAGGGGGCACAGCCAGGACAGCTGACCCGAACTGGCCAAGGGGATATTCCATACCATGTGACAACATGCTCACTATGTAAACTAGGGGAAAGCTGGCCTGGGGGGCCGCTGCTCGGGGACTGGCTGGGCATCGGTCAGCAGGTGGTG